GCTCAAGTTAAATATATGCCTAAGTATAGGAATAAAAATACCTGCACAACCTTTGATGATAAAACCAGGAATACCGTCAAGCCCAACAGATTTTGATGGTTTTAGTCTCTTGATGGCTTTGTAGACATCGGCATCAGAAATGGGGGCAAGGGATAAAAATTCAGAAGATTGCGAGAGAGGGTGAATGACCTTAGAGCAGTGGTTACTGTAAACAGATTTAAAGTGCTTAGCAAATGCATCAGCAACAGCTTCAGGCTGGACTAGGTGTGTACCATCAACTTCTGGATGAATGGAACCGGATCTGTTTTCTGAAATTAGATATGTATTTCCAGAAATGTTGGGGCTGTGACTTTAAATTGTTATCAACTGACTTCAACCACCTAAGCCTGTCGGACTTGATGGCGTTTTTAACTAGTTTTCTATAAAAGGAGAACCTGTCGTAAAAGTAATCATTAGGATTCTTTTTAAAACCACGGTGGAAATAATTTTTCTTGGTGATGTAATGCCTTAAGGTATAGGAGAACCAGTGAGGGAATTTAGACTTGCAGCGATACCCACAAGGAATTGCCTGCTCCATGGCACTTCTGACAGCAACACTGAGGCTGGCGACTGCTACATCAACAGAAGAGGTTTCATACATGCTTGACCAATCATAAGTACTCGTAGATAGAATGTTGTAAAGTAAGTGTAGTCTCCTGCTGCAAAATTTTGATAACTGAACTCACATTTTAAATTACTGTTAACATTAGGTAACAGCATATCAATATTCAAAGGGTGATACATATCAGGTGCGACAAATCCAAAGTTGGCAGGAACGGACTTTAGATCAGTCAAATTTGCCAATACTAGGTCAAGCATGTTAAGAGTGTCAACAGCCTCAACGCACTGCCTTAGGCCAAGAATACATGTAGACATGTACACAGAGTCCCCTTTGAGTTTAGAATAATAATGACAACTAGAAAGAGGTGTCCCGTTCTCCCAGTTGAATCCAGGAGCATTGAAGTCACCAAGTAATATCATGCGAGTACTGTTCGTGTCCAGATTGTTTTCAAGATGTCGAAAGTAGGCAGTAATGACTTCCGGTTTGGTATCAGGGGAGAAGTAATGGTTACCAATAAGCATGTTTATGCCATCTGCAGTGGGAACTTCGACTCACACACATTCAGAACAGAGTTCTAAATCATTATGTCAATAATTAGAATGACTTCCCATTCAAATTTCTACAGGCTCTATATTAGCCACTAAAATGAAAGCACAACACTGGAGTGTATGCTAATTGTTTCTTAAACATGCATACAGATTCTCAAGTATTCTTGTTCTAGCTGTGCAGACAGGGTTGTTTTTTTTTAATGGGTCTGATGTACTGTACTGTACTATATACATGAATGCACTGTTCCAAAACAACAAAACAGAATGAAAAACTGAAAGGCTATGAAGAGAGAAATCATCATAAACACATTCTGCAATATGAAACTTTACTCACTGACTTAGACTTTAACTTATATCAGCTGTGCACTGCACTTGTGTGGAAGTCCACGAGAGAGGGGGACTTCATACTCAATAAAAGGTAAAGTTGTCCCTGTACTTAACAAATTAAGTACTATGCTATAAAGGCCTAGGGGGAGTGGACGTATAAAGCCACATTTCCTTGACCTCAGCACTAGGTGGAGGGGAGTGGTCAGCTTCATGCACCAGCTGCTTTACCCCCTGCACCTACTGGATAGGGGGCTGGGTGGGCCCAAGAGCCAGTCTGGGCAACATGGAGAAGAGAAAATTATTGAGCCTACTAGGACTCAAACTCTGACCTTTCTGTCATCCAGCCAGTAGCCAGTTGCCACACCAACTGCGCTATCCAGGCTCCTACTAACATCATGCCTAATAACACATATAAATACAAATTTCATCCTCATGCCAGCACCACAGCAGCAGGCAAATCAAATTCCCAATTTCCAGAAAGAAAATGTTAACTAGTATGAAATTTCAAACACCATCTTGTACCTTAAAATTCAATCTTCTCTCTACAACAGCTGTATTCTCAGAACTAAAGTACTTAATTAAAATATTCTTACCAGAACAGCATCTGCAGAAACCGGAGGCGGTGCATTGAGGAAGGGACTGGACCATGACAAACGAACTGATACATTGCACCGTGTATAGCTTGCCTGACAGATGTCATATACATGTGATATGAGAGTCCTCACCTGGAAACCACATGTCATTGTGAAGAGAGGAAATTGCTATCAGACAATAACCAATTGTGGACTGCATACAGGAATGATGAGCAATCTTTGCTGCTTCAGGAAAACTGTAATGCTATTTACACCTTGTTTTGTGAGGATGTGAAACTTGGACTCTCACTCTAAGGAAAGAACATAAGTTGAAGGCATTCGAGAACAGGGAGCTGAGGACAACGAAGTGGAGTCACATCTTTTGCAGAGGTTATGCTCTAAAGCTGAAGTGTAAACCCAAATTCACATTTAGTCAGAATTATCCTTGAAAATCCATTAAATCTCACACAAATATATGCTTTTATACATGTCCTGTAATAGGTATGTACGTAACGTATAAACAAAAAGTATATATATATAAGTTAAATGTACAATAATTATATTTTAATTACATATAAATGGGGGTGATGGGAGAGAGAGAGATGGAGGAATGAAAGAATAAGGAAGCAAAACAGTAATCCTATTCATCCTGGATATTCCGATGATCAGTCTCCCTCTTCCCCCAACATTTAATGGCACATGGCATGGAATTGCACATGATACTTAATTTGTTCTTGGTAAGCATGTATGGTTGACTTTGCATAAATTAAATGCACACATGATGTCACTCCACTGTTTGTAAACTGAAAAAGATGACAGTAACAGCAGGCTGGAGAAAACGGCATACAGGAGCGCCATAATTTGCAATCACCAACAAACATCATTATGAACAAAGAGACTGAGATGAGTGGAGCATGTAGCATGCTTGGGAGAGACAAAAAATATACAGACTTGCGCTGGTAAACCTCTTGGAAGACGTAGCCACATATGGGAAGATAATATTAGAATGGATATTAAAGATGTGGAAGGGTGTGCACTACATTCATCTAGTTAAGGTTTGGTGGGCAGTGTATGTAGCACGAATAGGGGGGAAGAGGAATTCATATGGTGTATTGGTGGGGAAGTCAGAAGGAAAGAGACCACTAGGAAGACCAAGACATATGTGAATGGATCATATTAAAATGGATCTTAGAGAGAGGATGGGGCGGTAAGGACTGGAGTCATCTGGTTCAGGATAGGGACCAGTGGAAGGCTCTTGTGAACATGGTAATGAACGTTAAGGTTGCATAAAATGCTTGGAATTTCTTGACTGGTTAAGCAAATACTACCTTCTTGAAATGGACTCTGCTCCATGGAATTAAAAGAGCTTATTTACTGACAGGTATACAAACATGACTCCTCAGGAACACAGTGCATGTTACAATTAAAAGCAGTAACTACAATACAAATTTCAAACCTCACATCCTGAAATTTTGGTGATGGAAAGGTGTTCTTCCCTCGCTTTAACTGCATATTCTTCAGCCTGCTTGTAGCTCCAGTGTCCCAACAAGCGCACCATGTTGCGAGTTACCCAGCCACTCTTCCTGTCATGGAACGATGAGAGCAAGATGGTCTGTCTAGGATCTGAGCCATCACAGACTACCCACACAGGTACTTTCTGATATTGTGCGTACAGGTTGCATAAACTTAGTATCTTCCTAGGAAAAAAAAATGATGGGAAAGGGATGATCTCACGTTTTACACTGTGCAGTCCTAAGGTGAAGCTTGATGATGTACAGATAAGCACTATAGGCTAACATTGTAAACTGTTTCTTCTTGTAGAAATCTCATAATAATGGAAATCACAGCTCCTGTATAAGTTTCTGGAAGTTCTGCAGATAGATTTCTCTGAAGAAAAGTGTCATTCAGAATGCCAACCGAAAAATGACTGTTTGTTCAAATTACAAATCCATAAGGTAATTCTGCCCCAGAGTAATTCTGAATTTGATTCTGCATGTTCTTCAACTAAAACAATTAGGTCCAGAAGATTTTTGCCTGTATTATTTCACTTCTATACAACTGCCAGTTTTTCGGCATATTCACAATGGCAAGATGCAAAAATGCATATATTAGCTTTGCCATGTCTGTCTACACATAGTAACAACTCAAAAGTCAACACACACATTCATGAAATTTGATAGTTTTACTAAAATTTGTCAGAACGTTCCAATTTTTCTTTTAAAATAAGAAAAAAATCACACATTTCACATGAGGACCTACATTAATTTCTGCATGCATTTCAAGTGTAACCTGCTAAATATCATCAGAGAGGAAAATGTTTCCAACAGAAAATATACTGAAAAATTTATCACATTTTATGCCCACTACACTTTTACCAAAAACTGTATAGTTTTTCAAGATAATTAAAGAAAACAGAAGAAATGTGTCAGAGTTGTTAACTTATGCATGCATTTTCTGATTTGTCTTGATTATATTTCTCCTTTAATAATTAGTTTGCTGCTACAAAATCTTAACTCAGCATCAGCACAGCCAAAATGGCATAAGAGTGAAATATTTACAGTCTCACTGGCATGCTAACTGATTCTGAATGGGAGTGATTCAATGAATTTGGCTAAATTCATTTTTGGGACAGCATTATTATACATGTACTAAGAGTATTCAGTCTCATTAGCGTGAACTTACTGCTTAATAAACAAAATAGGTTTTACTTTTGTTCTGTATGTTCATCAGTATTCACTGAGGTCAACAGGGTTTCGAGCCAAACATTTAGTCAACACGGCAGTCACTCAGAGTGAATTCAAATGGATGTCAAACTAAATACAGTATATTCCCAATTATCCATATGCTGAGTGTCCAGCTTGCTGCATATCTGTGCACCTTTTTCTGATCTGCACACAGAGCTCCTACTAAGTTTGTTAAGCTTGTCTGTCCACCTGAATGCATGTACAAAAACATACACTAAAAAAATTCATATACGGTGGAGTGGCAAAAATGTTTCGTTCATATGTGTGTTTACGATTATTCCTGACTAGCACAAGTATCCATTCTTTGCCCAGGATATTATTGATTTCCTTTTCAATAAACAATGCATGGTCTGATAATAAAGTTCACAAACTCATGGCGGTAAAAGTGTTATATACCTCATTGCTGGATATCACTGTGGCCACCTTTGAAGTACTCCCCATGGGAAGCTATGCACTGATCAGCACCTAGTTCACCCTTCAAAACAACTTTGGAACTAGTTTTGTGTAACAGCCTTCAGAGCTGCCTTCGTATTACTCCTGATGTCATCAATGTCATCAAAATGCCTTCCTTTCAGTATTTCCTTTAACTTTGGGAACAAAAAAAAAGTCACTGGGGCACTAGCACTAACATCTCTCTGATTTCGCTTCCACTCTTGCCAAGTTTAACAAGAAATATAATGTTTGTTTGTTGCTCTAATTCAAGCTTGGACATTCTCGCACCAGCACACCAAAACACACTCAGACAATACTAGACACCACTCAGAAAGAGGCTTCCATAGATCAACAACAATATGGCTGTGAAACAATGACATGTCAATGTCATCAAACCATACTGAGGTTACTGTCCCCTGCTGCCATGGCAAGCACACAGTGGTGAGAGGAAATTAAAATTTACTTATATAATTAAGAGATAAACTGGGAATGGGGATCAGTACCAAATCCAAAAACTCAACCGCAATAAATGAACATAACTTCAGCAACCATGGCTCCTGTATACATATATTCGCAAGAGTATTGAGTAAATTTCACAGCATCTTTAAGCATTCCCTGCCAGATTTGCAGTAGGAAACACAAGAGTTATATTTTCATATGTACTGTATTAGGGCGAGTGCACACCAAGGAAACTGGCAACAGCAACGCAACTGCAATTTCTAAGAACTGTTATCAGACTGAGTTGAATGCATGTTACTGAATGGAGCAGTGCAAATTGGGCAAACGCCAAGGCAACTCAATGAAAAACTGAGAAAATCAACTTCCAGGCAATGGAGCATGCCAGTCTTCTCACAATTGCATTGCCATGTATTGCTAAGGGTGCTATTACTGTTGTGATACATGTGTATTATATTTTAAGAAAATAGATTTTATATTACTATATTAAGGATCTTGGTGGTCTTTTGATCATGTATGTAATTTTAAATGTTATTTTGATATATGGAATGTATTGCTGTACAGTAGTTTTGTTGTATTGAGTATTTAAATTTTGATGATGATGACTATCTGATTATGTATGTATATTTATGTTATATTGTATTATTGACTTGTTCTATATCTGAGGCAGATGCCTCTATGGATTTTTTGGAACTATAAATAAATGAATGAAAAAATGAATGAATGTAGTTTCCTAGTATCAGTTTTTCTGTAATGCGCTTCAGTGATTCATTTGTTCCTTAAGATAGCATGAAAGGTTGATGAAGCTGCTAATTTTGTTTTGTGCAGTAAATTGAGCAAGAGTCTGGTATATACGACAAACGCTAGCCAGACTATGCTAGGCAGGACAAAATAGATTTGTCTTGGGAAAGAATTTCTCATGAGATGAAAGAATCAGGATCCAAGTCAAGTTCTTTCGAAACAATATAAGCACCTTAGTTCAAATTGTCACAGAAAGATGAATGCACCCAATGTTTTCTTTTCCAATATTGTATTTGAGCATCCTGTTGCATTACTGTGTAGGTTATCCAGAAAGTTAAGTTCTGAATGGCCTATTGAACAACAAAAACAAGAATTTATTTTCAAACCATTTATATTGTCATTTGATGTACATACTGTACGCTACTTTTCGACATAGTTCACACCACTGTTGAGGCATTTGTCATAGCGGGGCACCACTTTTTGTACCCTTGCATTGTAGAATGATGCCACCTGCAATGCAAACCAGGTATTTACAGCTTCTTTGACCTTGTTATCATTGTGGAACCGCTGGCCACCAAGGAAAGTTTTCAGATGCAGGAACACATGAAAATCACTTTGCGCCAATTCTGGGCTGTAGGGGTGATGATCAAATTGTTCCCAGACAAATGTTGCAATGAGATCTTACATTGCGGCAGCAATGTGTGGGCAGGCATTATCATGTTCTCCATACACCTCACAAAGTTGACAATGAATGTCAGTTGGTTTCATGTTTCTTGCATTCAAAAAACGGATTACAGACCTAATTTCACATGCAGCAGGCTTCTCGAGTTTCCTGAACATTGTAAACACACAGGACGATGCGTAAATGCAGTTAAATTGTCTGCAAATGGCGTCTGTGACTTCCAAAAGGACCAATAAACTCTGCACGCATGCGCACCATAGTGACTGCAAGGCTGCAGCAGCAATATTTTCAAACGGAACTTATTTTGTGGATATGCCTCATATATTATTTATTTCACACAAATTTCAGTCTGAAATGCAACTTATTATATAGTCACCTTTCTTCCACATTACATGGTTTGGCTGTACATGGCCATCATCAGGTGCCTTCTATCATGCTAAAACAGTTGAACTGTATGTCAAAATTTTGTATTGTGTATGAACACGATATTTCCTGATTAAAACAAACTGACCTTAATTAAAACATATTAATTAACAACAAAATATTTTCCTTATAGTCATCATCATCTCTTCTAATGCCATCTCAATAGGTCTCAACTACCACCATAGTATGACAGGATCAGTATTATCATCTTCCATTGCAGAAATGAGTGCACTAAATTAAAAAATATAATCATGCATTACGTCGGTCAAACATACCCACTTCAGATGATGTGAGCTACTACTCAAACATAAGTTCCTCAGTGTATGCTTGCTAATCTGGAAACCAGCTGCCTGCTTGAAACTGGCAATTTTTCTTGGAAATTGCAGTTGTGTTGCAGTTGCCAGTTTCCTTGGTATGCCCTCGCCCTTAGACTCAGGGATGCTTTCACACAGTTATTGATTATGATACCAGACACCAAAACACTGTGTTATACCTGGCTTTGATTACTGAAAGAGAACCATGATTCTCTTCATCCTTCTGCCACTGTTTTCTTGGACCATCAGTGACTGTATCATCATTGTAATCACCTGGACTGAATGGGTATGCCAAAGGAGAACCTAACAGCTCAGAGTCTGGAAGATAAGAGCATAAAGTAAGAGGGTAAGTCAATAAGTAAGTTACAAATGGATATAGAACTTAAACAAATAAAAAGTACTGGTATGACAAATGCTTTTATTTCTCAACATAATCTCCCTGTACATTGAGGCACTTGTCCCATCGTTTCACAAGGCCCTGAAAACCAGCAGCATAAAATTCTTTGGGCTGCTGTCAGAACCAGGCGGTGACTTCCTTTTCTACACCTTCATCATTGGGAAAATGTTCAGCCGAAAGATGATGTTTAAGAGGGCCGAACAAATGGAAGTCACTTGGAGCAAGGTCAGGGCTATAGGGAGGATGCTCGAGGACATCCCACTTTAAATTTTGTAGCATCTCATTTGTCTTGTTGGCAGGATGGGGACATGCGTTTTCATGCAAGAGCAATACGCCTTTGGTAAGGAGTCCTGGTCGCTTCTTTTGAATGGCCTTAGGATAGATTACAGAATTTCTTCGACCACCTCAATAGTTTAAGGCCTTCCACCTGCTTCACTATGGAAACTGAGTCAGACAATGCGATCTCTTTTCTGGACGTTCTGGTCATCAGGGAAGAGATGGAACTGGTCACACAAGTCTACAGGAAACCCACCCACACTGGCCAATACCTTAACTTCAAATCTAACCATTCGTCACATGTAAAAAGAGGCTTGATTAGAAGTATCCACGACAGAGCCTCCACCATATGCCAAGATCGACAAGATTTGGTCAAAGAAATTAACAACCTGAGACACGATCTTCAGTTGAATGGTTATCCCAAAGGCTTCATTGACTCGGTCATTAATTCCAAGGGCAGTAGTCGTCCGAAGAAAGAAGAAAAACCTCTGTGTTCTGTATATATTCCATATGTGAAGGGTGTTTCTGAAAGGTTTAAACGGATAGGTAATGGATATAATATTAGGACCATCTTCCGAACGAAACACACTCTTAGGAACTCTCTTATGAAAACCAGACCGAAAAGAGATCCGCAACAGATGGCACAGTGCATCTATAGCATTCCCTGTGAATGTGGCAGAAGCTACATTGGCGAAACAAGCAGACCTCTGGCCGTGTGGCTCCGGGAACATAGGCATAACCTCAAAGAAGGTCTTCTAGAAAAATCTAAACTAGCTCAACATGCCTATGAAGAGGGACATAGAGTAGGCTGGGATGAAGCTAATATTTTGGATATTAAAAGCCACATCAGGTATAGGAAATACAAGGAAGCGGCCCATATGGCATGCTCGGCCAACCCAATTAGCCAACCCAGTTTGGACTTTTCTCCCATTTGGATCCCCATTATCAGCAATGAAGTCACCAATTCACATAGAAGATCTGTATGACGTGATATATGTTTTTATTGATTTCTATTAGGTTTTAAAATTAGATAGATGTGATTTACTCCATTGTTGACGCTAGTTAGACACTATTAGTTTTTTACTAGTTCTCCTTTCTATTCCATGCCGTGGGGTCATGGACCTGGTTATTAGTTTGGTTTTGTGGCATAAATTTCTATGGCTCTATCTTTCCTGATTCCACGCTTGTACATGTTTGGAACAATTTGTAATGAATATTTTTCTTATTAGCTCTCATGGACTTAGCCTGGTCTCAGGTGTTTATAACCTTTGTGTTTTCTCTCACTGGTCATCCACTGACTGGGGCTAGCTCTTTCCAAGGGACCCAACAGAATAGGTGTTTTCTCTCCTCATCTGAGGATGGATAAAGTCCAAAAACCCAATATCTCTGTGTGTTATACACCATCCTCAGAATCCTATAGTAACTACTTGAGAGATTCCAGTTTTACATTTAGAAAGTCATTCGGATCTTTCTGAGGCTGTGGAGACCCACAGGGATGTAAGATTTTGACACTCCAAAATTTTCTAGACAATCAGGTCACATATGGCACTGAGGCTGTCAGCCTTATGCACTGGCTGCCCTTTACCCCCAAGAAGATTCCTGGTACTAATTTCTGTTAGAGGTTGAGTAAACCCCAGGGCCATAGTGCACCTGGAAGGATTAGGTCAATTGAAAAATCCAATGACCTCATTGGGAATCAAATTCACGACCTTCCATCTTCTAGCATAGTGCCTCAACAAATTACACTGCCATGTGCCCCTTATCTTTTTGATGGTTGACATTTTATGTTCTCACAGCAGTGAATATTGAGATTGCAGTTTCTGGGATGCAACGAAGCCTGGTGGGAAGATCTCGATGTTTAGGAGGAACCCACTGTCTGCAGCTTTAATGTGAAGATTGTAACTACATACCAGACTATACAATTACATATCTCAGAAGAAACTATTGCAGATTAAACCAAACACCACCTACAGAAACTACAAAGAAACTGCCCACGTCTCTGGTAGACCATCCAATCAGTCAACCCAGCTTGGACAACTCTCCCACCTGGACTCCCATTATAGCAGTAGAAGCCAGAAAGCTTAAACTCTGTGCAGTGTAGATTATGTGTGCTTATGCTTGAAAGGTATTATGCCACCCAACTTCTTAGCAATGTTTAGCATTGTTTCCTCAAAGCAAATAGTTTTGCACAATCTAGTAATGCTGAAATGATATAAATATTAGCAGAATAATAAAAACAACATATTGTACTGCAATAGACAATGAGTTTAAGTACTGGCAAGACTGCTCTGATAGTTTCTCTAGCAGATCTCAGACACTGCCCTTCATTCTTACAGGAAAATTATGTTAGATTTACATGATTTCACCCTCTGCAACTTCCTTTCAAAACACAACTGTTATATATATTGAGGAATATGTATGCATATAGGTATGAGAAATATAAAAAAAAAATGAGTTTGTTGCAACTAGTACCAGGTCTGAATTATATAATACAAAACACTAAAATGATTTTTTTACCTGCACTACAATCTTGCACTGAGATCTCATTTGTAGTTACATTCGTTGTCACCTGCAAGGGGAAAGCCTTAATCAGTGAAAAGAAATGCAAGCATAAAAATTTAAATGTGAACTCAGTGTCAGCCAACACCTATTCTGTACAACCAACAGAAACCTTAACAAAAGGACGACCAGGGAGTCACATACAAAGCTCACACTGTCCAAATAGATTATAGTCATATGGCTTATTCCTTAAAGACGTTCAATAGGCGAGACCTTATATTGTCAAAAGCAGGGTAACTGTGACTTTCTTAGGTCACATGTTATAGGTGGTAATGATGCCATCCTCAATGAGGTTGGCCGAACCATGGTTGTGTCTTTCATGGGGACGCATCAAGAAGCAGGGATGCATTGGGACACCTCCTTGTGGTCCCACTGGGCAACGACAGTCTCGGGGTCTGGATCAGTATGACCTACCGGGGCTGGCAGGTAAGTTCTCATAAAGGGCAATGGCATTATGACCGGAGCCTCCCACGTGGCGGTATAATGACTCTTGGGTATCACTATGGTCTACCTGGGATGAATGCAGGAGAGCACTCATGTGGGGGTAGCTTCGGCTACTTGAGTTATCTCCCTAGAGTACCGATAAGGTGCCACAAGCCTTAGAGCTCAACACTCTAAAATAGTTTGACCAACCCATGTGGGGGGTGGGAATGGGGGAGCTCATAGGCCACCCCCAGGGGCAACTCTCCCATGCAGGTTGCCCTGGTCGCAACCTCATGACTAACTGGTGTCACACTTCCATTAATAATGTGGGATATTCCCCTCCCCCCAAACAGGCACTCTTGGTCCTGGAGGCTTGTGAGGGTTTCATTCACAACAGGACCAAACCACCTAAGCCAAGGTGTGAGGCATCATGCTGAAGGCTGCATGGCACTAGGGTGGTAATTAGGAACTGGGGGCAGTCAACAACCAGGAAATGCAGGCTCGTCTAAGCCAGGAGAAACCCCCACCAGTACCTTTAAGAGGCCAAGGTTTCAGGGCTGTACCCCTACAGAAATGGCTAGAACTCCAAAAAGGCCCAGGGATTCTTAGGTACCAGGGACTTACAAGGAGGCTCCGACCAATACAAAGGTACCTATCTTCAAGGAAACTTATCCTGAGAATAAGCTTACCAAAAATGAGCAGAATTCCATTCTGGAAGCACTGGGGAGGTGTTACGTAGGAATCCAAAGGGAGAACTACCACACCTGAAATACTACAGACTAGTGGGAGGTGCACTTATTTATGCATGTGCCAACCAACAGTCTGGTCAATGGCTCACCAAAGCCATTGACAACCACAGGCTGGAATCAGGGGCCAGGCTGAAGGCTACTGATGCCAGGAACCTGCCCAAGTTACTCTCCGGACTAGGGACAAAGTTGCCCAGAATAAGGAAGAGCTGCTGAAATGGATTGCAGACCTCAATCTAGGACTTCATACTGAGAACTGGCAGGTACTTGATAAGCAATCTGAGTCGAAAGGCCAGAGGCTCATCTTATTCATAGACTGGGACTCCTATACTATTATACATAGGACCGGTTACAAAATTTCACAGGACTCTCATGGGGGACTGTTGAGGTGCTGAATGATCCTGAAGTTCAGCACTGGGCAGAACCTGTCAGATACAGTATCTTCTAACTAGGTCTCTGAGGGGGAAGGGCATGAGATACCCACACCCCTGCATGATCAAAGCAAAGTGGATCAGGAGACACCTTCACACAGAACCCAGTCTGAGGACAGGGAGGGACATAAGATGGAAACTGACCCCTCCCCAATTGGGAGAGATCATTAACCCAACACGCACACACAGACCATGAAATTTCTTCAGATTAACCTACACCAGGGCAACTCTGTGCCAACAACTAGCTGAGGTGTAACTGCTCCACTGTCGAGCACTAGTTTTAAGTATAATTAGAATCTTTAGTACAAGAATTGATTATGGATGGCAAGTAAAAGGCAAGCCAGTGGGACACAGTCACCTTCTTGTCTGCAGGGATTGACTTATGCCCAGTCTTTCTGTTACACAGGAAGTACCCCTGTGGCTTTTTCTGAAAAATTTTGTTTGCGGGTAACAGCGGCAAACTTTGAGAATATGATCACTGGCAGGTCCTGCAGGCATTTTTCAAACCCACGCCAAGCAGGTTATCCATCAGTAAACTGTCAAAAAGTATGTTAAGTCTTTAGAGCGTAAATTCCCTGTAATCCTTAAACGAAATGGAGGAATATTAAATTAAGTGAACTCCTAGATTTCAAAGTGACCAATCCTAAAAATTTAGGGAGTTTACTTGTGGACCGAGAAGAAACAGGCAGGGCTCCGAGTTTTGAGGAAAAGGCATTCTGCTGAGTTAGTCATATTCCAGCTCGCAAGCTATTCGGACGCAGATTCGGTACCAACTAATTGTGACTATAAGTTCTGTTAGAAATTCTAAGTTACAGCATAATTGATTAGTTAAACTGTGAGTGTAGATACCTATCTACTAGCCATCCTGCCATATAAGTCCTTTAACGACCAGTAGAGTGATTCTTGAATAAAGAGAGCAAATTCAATCTAGTTCATTGGTGGTGTTCACTACTGACAACAGTTGTAATAAAGTGGCTTGTGAATAAGTGTTGTGTGTGTGTGTGTGTGTGTGTGTGTAGTATCAATTACTGGACATACCCCTACCTGACCGAGGCCCAGTTAAACAACCTGAGATGGATTGAGATTGAGCTCTACCACTTGAACTAGCACCTCAAGAACAGAATCCCCTTATAAATCATCCCCTCTTTCTTCCATAAAAGTTGTAAACGAATTCCATAAGTTTACTGGCACCTAATCCTCTACCCATTTACTTGACAACTAGAAGAGGAGGTCGTAAGGAGGATGAGCGATGAGAACCAAGGAGGCTGTAGCTGCAACCTACTAGCAGCAGCAGCCAGCAATAGAGACACGGCTCAACAGTTAAAAGGGGGCGCTCAAAAGTAGTAGAAGTAGAGGAGGAGGGCGGCAAGAGAGGGTAAGGCAGATATAGCACTTTATCAGGAACCTTGGTTACACAAGGGTCAAATAGGCTCAACTAACACAGGAGGAACAGTTTACTCTGCTGTACCCAGTAACAATGCAAGAGCCTGTGTTTATATCAGGAATCATGTTAAGGCCTTGCCTTTGCTGGAGCTCTGTCCTAGGGATGCAACAGCGGTGAGGATAACATACATGTATTGAGGAGGGAGCAGGGAGCTGATTATTGTTTCAGTCTATCTTCCATATGACTCAGATGAACCACCAACTAAGGAAATGAGGGACATCATAGATTACTGCTGTAGCAAGAAAAAGCAACTCATCATTGGGTGTGATGCCAATGAGCACCACATCTTGTGGGGGAGCACCGGCACCAAAAGGAGAGAGCCTTATTGAATTTCTGGTGAGGTGTATGCCATTAAGACATGCACAGTTGAGAATTTAGACAGGAACTATAAAAATAGGAACATCTACATATATCCTATCAGACAGTCAAACTGCAATTCAAGCACTTGGTACACACCAAATCACTTAAAAATTAGTTTGCGACTGCCACTAATCCTCATACAACTGGCCAGACATAACAGAGTACAACTGATATGGGTGCCAGGTCATGAAGTTATTGTAGGCAATGAAACTGCAGATCAACTGGCAAGAACAGGATCTGAATAGCCATTCATAGGACCTGAACCAGCTTGCGGCATCTCAGTAGGAGTTGAAATGAAAGCGATCAGGGACTGGACTAACAGAAATCACAAAAAACACTGGGATTCCATAAGTGGACTTAAACAGGTAGAAGGATTTATATCACGACCCTCTGCCAAAAGAATGAGGGACTTGTTAAAATTAAACAGAGATCAACTCAGATGGGTGGTAGGATTACTTACTGGACATTGCCACCTAAATGGACATCTTTCCAAACTGGTACTGACAGAGGACCAAACTTTTGAGAGGTGCCTACAAGAAGATGAATCAGCCACACAGATCTTATGTGATTGCGGGGCTATAGCTTATTTAAGATATCGCCACCTGGGTAAATTCTTCATGGAACCAAGTTACTTTTGTGACACCTCCATAAACAATGTCCTAGATTTCATTCGAAGTGTAAGATTAATAAAGGGTTAATCCAAAGGGGAAGCACAATAGACCATTGAAGGTCGCAGTGCTAGGGTCAGTTTTATGGGTCACCCCTCATACTCACAGGGAATGATCTGGAATGTAGTTATACCTTACATAACCTACCAGCTTCTTGTACACGAGTAGTATATTTTCACCGACTGGCTCATTTAGAAATGGTTGAATATAAGAAGGCGCTCTTTGAAGCCGAACTTCAATGGCAGGATCTTTTATCAAATTCCTCAATTCCACAACTCCATCCATTTTAAGAATCTTCTGCCAGGCCGTACCTCAAGAATTCGTTTACTTCTAAACCAGAACATCAACAGCCTCACTCGCTATTTATAAGGGATACATTTAGATCCCTAACTGAATAACAAAAATACATCAATAAAAAAATAACATGTGCACAATGCCCAAGGCAACACTACTTAAAGATTCCCACCAATAATTTTTTCAGTTTCGTCCTCCTAGTAATCCGTGGCCTACACATACCAACTTATGAAATTGATTTGTGGTACAAATTCATTCGGTCATTCATTTCCTTTATTTTCCTTATATCTATACAGGTAAAAAAACCTAGGATGTGGAAATAGTCTCTTTGGGAACCAAAGGTTGAAATACGTATAATTATTGTCTCTTGCTTTTAGAAACGAAGGAAAATCGCAGGCATCTGTGAACAAAGTGTAAATTGCAATATTCGATATATCCAAAATGTTACAGAGTTTGACTAACCATGCGAGACATGTCAAGGAGTAGGGGCCAAGCGAAGTGTGGTCTCTGGCGGTCAGTGGTCCGAAACGTCCGAAAGGTTGTGAGCTGGGGACGGGTTTAACGATCTCACACTCGAAAACTCTATTGTTTCTAGAACATGTAGGAACACCCATACGGGGATGTAGAGCGATCAGAGAAGAATTCCAGGCTTTAGGTTGGTCTTGAAACTTCAAATTTTGTACAAACATAATAGCCTCAAACTAAAATAGCTTCATTCAGGTGAGCCCCTCTTGTGAAGTCATCAATTGTGCCGCTACCTAAGAACTTAGGCAATTTATAGAACCAAAAAGTTCATTAATGTGCTCACAAGAGGCCTCCACTGGTCCCTATCCTGGTCAAGCTCAATCCAGTATATACCACCTCATCCTATCTCCCTAAGTTACATTTTAATCAATCCACCCACATCTTGGTCTTCCTAGTGGTCCTTTTCCTTCTGGCTTTCCCATCAATATTCTACAGGGTGTTTCACGACTTTAGGGCATAACTGCAGGAGGTGATTTCCTAGGTCTTTGTGATCAAAAAAGTTCATATAAACATGTGTCCAATTTTGGACGGTTACGGAGTTATGGCCGTTTTTTTCATTCCCGTACACGCCCTCGTGTGAACCGCGTCTATCATCTGGCGGGTCGCTATTTTTAGCCAGCTACAGACAGAGCGTTCTCGTTAGCTCGACACTTGAGAGGTACCTAAGGCGTGATGGGTTGGTATGTCCGGCCACGGCTAGCGTGGTGGGTACTTGTGTTCAGAACAGTTCTCATCTCGGTGCGTCTGTTACGTTCACGATGCCATTTACATTTTAATTTGAGAAGTATGCAGATATGATTTATGTGTACGGGTTTTGTGACGGTAAACTCAGTTCTTGCCGTAACTGAATATCAGCAACGGTTTCCGAATCGTAGAATACCAAACCGGAGAGTGTTTACTGGAGTTTACCAGGCATTGCGAGATACCAGTAGACTTCCCGGCGTTCGTATTGCAGCCGAGCGTGGTGTTAATGAAGGCGTCAATGAAGAAGGCATTGCTCATATGGTACACTGCAGTCCACGTACGAGTACGCGAAGAATTGCCAGCCAGGTCTCCAGACTTAAGCCCACTGGATTATTGTGTGCGGGGATGGATGAAAGAACTGGTTTACAATGTGAAGGTGGCAACGCGAGATGCTTTGCTCGGTCGCATTCCGGACGCCGCTGACCACATAAGAGCGGTCAGCTGAAGCTGCTACCTGCTACCGGCGCGCTTCACAACCGAGCGGCAGCCTGTGTTGTGGCCAGCGGTGGCATTTTCGAAAATCAGCTTTAAACACCAATCAATTCAAATTAAAGGTAATTTCACTAAGTTCTCTAAATGTATCATGTATTATGTTGGTTTAGTATTTTGTTCCGTTTATCGTCAGTAATCGTTACCATCTATTCAGAGTTTAAAACGGTCATATCTCCGTAACCGTCCAAAATAGGACACATGTTTATATGAACTTTTTTGATCACACAAAGACCTAGGAAATCACCTCCTGCAGTTATGCCCTAAAGTCGTATATGAATTCCTCTTCTCTCCAATTCATGCTAAAAGCCCTGCACATCTCATGACTTAATCATTCTAATTATACTTTGTGAGGAGTACAAGTTATGAAGCTCCTCATTATGCAGATTTCTGAAACTTCTAAGTCACTTATCTCTCTTCTGTCCAAATATATTCCTCAGCACCCTGTTCTCAAACACCTTCAGTCTATGTTTCTCCCTTAATGTCAGGAACCAAGTTTCACACATATACAGGACCAAAGGCAAAATTATAGTTCTGTATATTATAATTCTTAGGTTTTAGATGGCAGATGAGAAACAGTAGGTTCAGGACTGAATGGTAGCAAGCATTAGCCCAATTCAATCTCCCCTTAATCTCCTCCTGTATCAAATTTTGATTTGTAACTGTTACTCCAAAATATTTTAACTGTGTCACATTTTCAAAGGACCCGTTAGCTATCTTCATGTCATGATTTTGCCCTGCATTCAAATGACAAGGCAGCAATATATACCTAGTTTTCTCTGAGTTTACTTCTAGACCAATCTCCTTATTAGCATAATTTAAAGAGTTCATATTTTTCTTTAAGGTATGTGTTATCTCCCAGTAGATTCACATCATAAGCATAGACCAGCAGCTGACGTGTCCCATTTAATTTTTGTTCCACCTGGTTTTCAGTCTCAAACATGTACAAATACTCATATGTGTAGAATATCTTTAACACAATTTAAACATGAAAAATCTATAAATTCTGCCTTCGGCTTGTGTGGACTCCACCATCCAGTCATCACATTCCCTAATTGACATAAATTAGCTCATTTATGGTCTTAGTAGTCTGTGAAGGGTTGGAAGGGATTAACAATACTGTAGAACAGTTGACCCATGTTAGATGGGTCCCTTGTCACCATGGCATGGCGCATCTTCAGGTTGCGGATGGAGGAGATGCCTTCCAGACATGGAGGGTAACTGTGAATATATTGAATAAGCAGTCACAAACAGCCAACAAGGTGTGGTCCTCCAGTTTGGGGGTTGGGTGTGGGTCTAACAAATCCTCAAACAAAAAAAAAAAAACTCTGTGATTTTAGTCCGCAAGTAAACTATACCAACCGAGCGACCGCCGCTTGTCGGCAAAGTGTCTAACAACTCCTCACCATAAAAAATAAGCTTTTTAACAAAATGTGCAAGAAGCATCGAACCTGGATTAACTCCTTGGATAAATGACTTAAGCAAAGAAAAATGGATATGAGATTTGGTACTAGGAATGTTAGCTGTATTTATAGGGCAGGTTCTATCAAGTAAGTGGCAGAAGAAATCTCAAAATATAGGTTACATTTAATGGGAGTACAGGAGGTCAGATGTGGCACTGAATAAGCAAATGAATATACATTTTTCTTTGGAAAGGGGAATGAAAATCATGAATTAAGTACACATTTTTTGTACATAAGAGAATCATATCAGCAATTAACAGGGTAGAGTTCATTAGTGATGGGGTGTCATATATAATACTAAGAGGTCACCGGTGTGATATAATCATTCTGAATGTTCATGCCACAACAGAAGACAAATTTGAATGGACAGATTCTATTATGAACTAGAACATGTATTTGATAAATTCCCGAAGTACCATATGAAAATTTTGTTAGGAGATTTCAATGACAAAGTAGGTAAGGAAGACATATTCAAACCACTGACCGATAATGAGAGTTTGCACAAAATTAGTAGTGATAATGAAGTTAGAGCAGTAAACTTTGCAACATCCAAAAATCTTACTGTCAAAAGTACAATGTTCCCACATCGTAACATCCATAAATTTACTTGGACATCTTCTGATGGGAAGATACACAATCAAATAGACCATAGTTTCATAGATAGGAGAAGGCTTTCAAATATACTTGACATCTGATCATTTAGGGAAAGGTTAGGGAAAGACTGGCATTGAGCAAACAAATAATGCTCAGAGTTCATATGCAGAGATTCAATCTCAAGAAATGAAATGAGGCAAAGGGTAAAGAGCAGTTAGCGGCTTTGGAAAACTTGGACACTGAGATGGATGTTAATAAAGCTTGGGAAACTATTAGAGAGAATATAAAAATTTCTGCCAAGGAGAGTCTAGGTTATTATGAACTGAGGAAGCATAAGCCATTGTTCGAGGAAGGATGCTCAAAATTATTAGACCAAAGAACACAAGCCAAATTGCTGTGGTTACAGGATCTGAGCAAAATAAATAATGATAATGTAAACAATATAAGACATGAAACCAGCTGCATTTCAGGAATAGAAAGAGGTTATATCTGAAAGACAAAAGTGATGAGCTTGCAATGAACCGTAAGAACAGGAATATTTGAGACTTGTATAGAGGAATAAATGGCTTTAAGAGGGCTTACCAACCTACAAGTAACTTTGTGAAGGATTAGAATAGTGATCTGCTTGCAGATTCCCACAATATTTTGAATAGGTGGAAGAACTACTTCCCCCAGTTATTAAATGTACATAGGGTCAGTGATGTTGGGTAGACAGAAATACATACAGCTGAGCCATTAGTACTTGATCCTAGCATTTTTGAGGTTGAAAGTGCTCTTGCAAAATTATAAATAATAAAATAAAAAGTATAAATTGCCAGGTAGTGATCAAATTTTGGCAGCACTTATTCAAGGAGGAGGTGAGATATTAAGTTTTAAGATCCATAAGCTGATTACTTTTATTTGGCATAAGAAAAAATTGCCTCACCAGTGGAAGTAGTCTATTATTGTACCGGTTCACAAGAAAGGTGATAAAACTGACTCCAATAAATATCAGGGGATATCACTGCTATCAACTTCATACAAAATGTTACTGAGTACTCTTCTCTCAAGGTTAAGTCCATATATAGATGAAATCATTGGGGATCATCAGTGTGGGTTTTGACGTAACAGATCAACTACAGATCAGAGCTTTTGCATTCGTCAGATATTGGAGAAAAAATGGGAGTACAATGAGACAGTACATCAGCTATTCATGGACTTCAAGAAATCTATGATTCAGTTAGGAGGGAAGTATTGTACAGTATTCTGATAGAGTTTGGGATACCCATGAAACTAGTTAGGTTGATTAAAATGTGTTTAAATGAAATGAATAGTTAGTTCTAAAAGAAGTTATTGAAGGAAAGATAGAGGGGCGGATAGAAGTGACCAGGAGACGAGGAAGAAGACGTAAGAAGATGCTGAATGACCTTGGGGACAGAAGAGAATATTTTCATTTGAATGAGAAAGCTCTAGATCACATCAAGTGGAGGAACTGTTTTGGAAGAGACTGTGGACCTGTCGTCTTGACAGATTACAGATAAATGAATGAATTATTTCAGTTTTTAATGAAACAATGACGGGTTTAATAGGAACTTTTTTAACTCTAAATTGTGATAAGACACATTTCTTACAATTCTTTTTAAAGAAGCATAGAGAAATACAAATCCAAATTGCATCAACCAACTCATTAATTACTAACATCAATTGCTCTAAACTTTTGGGAATAAATATTGATAGCACCCTGTCTTGGAAGAATCATATTACTGTGTTATCATTAAGATTAAATAAGGCCTGTTTTGCAATAAGGGCAATAAAGCCCTTTATGTCATTAGATTCAACAAAGATGATTTACTACTGAAGTATGGCATTATCTTTTGGGGTAATGCCCCCCTTAGTATGAGTATCTTTAAAATTAAAAAAAGAATCATAAGAGTTATGTCTGGATCAGGCAAACTTGATTCATGTTGGGAGTTGTTAAAAAATTACAAATATTGCCACTCCAGTCTCAATATATTTTTTCCTTACTTCTTTTCGTTATTAAGAATAAAAATTACTTTATATCTAACATGGATATTCATGATAATAATACCTGCTATAATTATAATTTATACTTTTTTTTTTCTCTTGGCACTACAGCCCCAGTGGGCCTAGGCCTACCTCCATGAACTTCTCCGTTCACTTCGGTTTTTCTAGATCATACACATTCGATAGGACTCCTTGGGCGGGTGATCAGTTCGTCGCAAGGCCTCTGCCTGTACACAAACACAGAAAAACGCACACACACATCCATGCCCTGAGTGGGTTTCGAACCCACGATCTCGGTTTCCAAGCGAGCGAGGACAGTGCATGCCTT